CCTGGGACCCTGGAAGGATCTGAGGCGAGAACTGAAGGCCATGAGGAGAGCGAAGAGAGAGACTTCAACAAAGAGCGGGGAGGCAGCAAGTAGTGCTCTCTCCCAGAGCCTAGACTCGGCGTAGGAAGGGCAGGTCGAGCCTGCAGACTCACAGCGACTAGTGGAGACCCCAGAGGCCTCCGCCGAGCACACCAGTGCAACGGAGCTGTGGATGCACTGGACTGCAGTGGCTGGTGAGTTATCCGGCTTCAGAGGTCACCCAGCAGAGGGTGACTGGCTGGTAGCCATCTTGGAGAGGGGCCAACTGAGCTCGGAACTCAGAATAGCTAAGGGCGGACTCCATCTAGTGGCTCCCAGTGTTTCAGAGCAAATGCCAAGTTCATGCCATCAGGATGTTAGGGAATAGAGCTCAGGTCTGCAGGGAGCCGTTCAAGCCAGCAGCAGGCACATGGGCTGTTGCAAGCTCAAAAAATCCAGTTTCAACCTCATAGCCAGAAACCAGCCTGAACTTGGGTGGAACTAAAGCTGCAGGCTGGCTGGGATTATCCACTACCCCATCCACCCTAAAGCTGTGGCTGGCTTGCTGGGCTTAATCACTTCCGCTCTGGACTCTACCCATGTTGCCTACCAGAGACAGCACAGACACACCTTGAATTGGACTTTATTTGCTTTTTCCTTTTTTCGTTCTTTTTTTCTCTTTCCTGGTTCTTGTTCTTGATTTGTTTGTTTTTTCTTGATCGTGTGAACAGAGTTTCTGGTTTTGCTGCTCCGTTCTGTTCTTATTTTTGTCTCTTCCTTTCTCTCCCACCTCTCTTCTTCACTGCTTTCCCAAAGGTTATACAATCTTCCTTGGTCCTGCAGCCTGGCTTCTAATCGCTTCGTCTTCTATCTTTCCCCTCTAACCCCTTTTAAATCTTTTACCCTAAGGGCAAAATCACCATATTAAGGGCTTATTTTTATTTATTTATTTTGGCACTGGGGATCAAGCTCAGGTCCTTGCGCCAAGGCAGATAGCAGAACCACTGAGCTAAATCCCCAGCCCTTAAGGGCTTATTCATTGTATACAATTTTCTGGCTTGCTTTAGCTTTTGTTATATAACCACATATCTAGTTCACATGGCTAGAGGTGGCAAATTCATGGTTACCACAGTTTGTCATTGTCTAGGCTGTGTTTGATGCTATTGTTATTGTGCTGATCAGTTTTTCTGGTATACTAAAACCTAAGTACCTAAGGGCCTTAAAAAAACTATAGGCCAGTGCCAAACAACCAGTAGCTGGGACAAGTGAGCCGAAACGTCTCATCCCCGATAAACTGAAGAGGTAGGATCCTGCAACAGACTCAAAACCCAAGCTCAAAAGCCAGCTCCACCTGGAAGACACCTCTGAGAAGTAGTCATTTCCTAAGGATTCAGAATACTGGCATTACAGCGACTTGCCATAAGCAATATACAAGCATCCACACAGGAATTAAATTTAAAAAACAAAAAGAAAATGAGAAGACACCTAAACAAGATGCAACTCCTTCCTTCGACTTCCAGCTTACCAAAGGCAAATCCAAAACACAAGACCAGCCTGGACTACACAGTGAGACCCTCCTGTCTCAAAAAACTAAAAACTGAAGAAAAAACAGTGTTGGCACATTCTGGGAAGCTGAGGCAGGAGGATCACAAATTTGAGCTTAGCCCGAGCAACTTAGCAAGACCCTGTCTCAAAATTTTAAAAAGGAAAAAAAAAATTAAAAAGGGCTAGGGATGTAGCACAGTGTCAAGGCCCTGGGTTCAATCCCCATTACTGCAAAAAGATTAAATTGAAATACTATCAAATATCACAATTTCAGATACGCATTTGCATCTCATCAAAGTGTTTTGAATTTCCTGTTTTTCCTCCCCAATACCATCATCCAAGTGTGTATGTTTGAAAACGGAATGTGGATCCCGTTTTCCGAGAGGAATGTCTTATGTAAATTCAGATTTTCTAGTAACCTTTTTCAACAAACAGAGAAGAAATGCTTAGTGTTAGGCAGATCCACATGCATTAATACTACATTGAGATCATTCTTGCTGTGGGCCTCAAAGGCCAAAACTATTCTAGCTAGAAAGTCCAAGGCACCATCAGCTACCCTCCACATCCAAAGACCCAAAGGCAAAGTCAGGTCAAGGTTGTCAGCAAGCTTGGCCTGCTGGTGGTACACACATGGAATCACAGCACTTGGGAGGCTGAGGCAGGAGGAGGCCGTGAGTTTGAGGCCAGCCTGGGCTACATAGCAAGAACCTCTCAAAGAAAAAAAAACAAGTAACCAGGGCTTGGGATTTAGCTCAGTGATGTCACCGCCTGCCTTGCAAGCACAAGGTCCCGAGTTCGATCCCCGGTACTGGGGTGGAGGGGAGGAATGCTGTTGGTTGCCTCGGGGGACTGATAAAGAGTTAGAACGGAAGTACACTAGATTTCTGGTGTCACCTCAGATGAATGTGAGGCAGGCCAGAAAGCCAAAGCTGCTGCCGAACCCACCCAGGATCTTCTGCAGCATCCCAGAACCTTCTATCACACTTTAGGGGCCAAGCAAAGAAAAAACACAGCAAAATCAATTTCACTCACTCTCTCAGGCACTCTCCGACTTAGTATCCACCTTAACTTGCAGAGAAAAATCTATTTCTCCTTTTACTTTCTTAATTAATTTTTTGTATGCTTGGTTTTTTAGGTAGGGTCTGGCTACTTAGCCCAGGCTGGCTTTGAACTCGCTGTGATCCTCCTGCCTCAGTCTCCCGAGTGCTGGGATGAAAGGCGTGCGCTGCCATGCCTGGCAATTTCACCTTTTATTGTGCCTAAGAGCCACCTCCTTTTAGGTCTGTCCTGGATGCCAGTGTCACCGTGAAGTTCGTAAGAAAGTACCCTGTGCATAGCGCCTGCCTGCCAAGGAAGTGTCACAACAGCACGAAAAGAGACCTGAGCAGCACATACGACTCACAAGGCTGTGGCTCTGCAGATCACCGTCTTCCCTCCAAGGGCCAGAGCGCCCATGACCCACCAAGTAGCCGGGAAGGGGCACAGCGTGGGCTCTGCGGCCAGAACTCTCGGGGGCAGCAGGGGTTCACTGTGCTTTCCTTGCTCACTGTTGTGCACAGGAGCCTTGGCAACACGGACTGTGCACGTCCCCTGCCTGAGTGGTTCCCTCTAGGGTCCCCTGCAGATGTGTGCTCGGGCGTGTGCAGGCGGAGACTCATTTGCAGCAGGATTTACAGTGAACAAAATAAGGGGCACAAGCTAAGCACAAGCCTGCACCACCATCTGTGGGGCACAAGCAGGGCAAGGGCGAGGTCTCGGAGGGCGGGTCCATAGCACGGTGGGAGCTGTTTCTCCCTGCCTCCCTGCCTCGGAGCCTGCTGATCATGGACTGAAACCTCTGTGAGCTGGAAGCCAAATAAACTGTTCCCCTTAAAAAACAAAAAGCAAGGTGGAGCCAGGCCTCAAGCATGCGTGACAGGTATTCATTTAAAGGAGAGCAGGGCACGGTGGCGCACACTTGGAATCCCTGGACTGCAGGGCACCGCTGCAAATTCAAGGCCAGCCTGGGCTGCACAACGAGGCCGTGCCTCAAAACTAAACTAAAATAAAATGAAAATACAGGCGTTAAAGGTGCAGTTCAGCAGTACCGCACATGCCTACTATGCACGAGGCCCTGGATCCATCCCTAACACCAAAGGGGGGGGATTACATACCCCCGCATGCATGCGCGCGCGCGCACACACACACACACACACACACACACACACACCTGGACTAGTAACCGAAGAACATGAAAGTGGTTGCCCTGGGGAAGGGAAACAGGCAAAGGTGGGCGAACGAGGGGTGGTTTTATACCTCTCCTGCAGGGCTGAACTGTCTGTGTCTAAGTTTTTCCTCCATGCACACCCACAGCTACTGAAGAACAGTCGAGAAAGAATTCACCTCACCAGCACTATCGGACAGTGGCACCTGCTGGCAAAATCACTTCCCATCCTGCAGTACATCTGGAGGGGAACAACTACTTCAGCTGTGATGCAGGAAACCCGTCTTGAGGAAAGCCAGCTAAGGGAAGCCTTTGCTGCTATCAGGCCTTCAGAGCCTAAGACTCAAGGGTACCGCAGGGTTAGAGCACAGTGCTTTGTCCTAGGTTGAGCTGAATGCCATTAAAGACATGAAGAGTATTTCAACACCCTTCCACAGGGGCATCGCCAGCATACAATGTAACGTGAAAACGCTCCACATGTAATACCCTTCATGGAGGGAGACGGACAGGGCTACCCACTTTTTTTTTGGTCTGCTTTGGTTTGGGGTTTGGGGGGGGGTTGTTTTGTTTTGTTTTTTGGTACTGGGGATAGAACTCGGGTCCTTGTGCTTGCAAGGCAGGCGGCGAAACCACTGAGCTAAATCCCCAGCCCCTGGTTTGGGGGTCTTTGAGACAACTTCTCAACTGTGTAGTTCAGGCCTTAAACTCACTATGCAGCCCAAGCTGGCCTCCAATTTGTGACATTTTCCTGCCTCAGCCTCCTGAATGCTGGGATTACAGGCATGGCTTGAATGCTTTAGAGGAAGAGGAACTGGCTGCAGATGAGGACCAGCAGCAGCATGGTTGTCACTTTTGTTTTAGAAAGATAGATGGCCACCAGTGTGGAAAACAGCGAGGCTGGGGACGATCTGGAGACAGGACAGCTCATTTATTTATATTAGCTGTTATAAATTGTTGTCACAGCCAATTGACTCCTTTCCTAAACATTAAGCCTGAAAGCTTCAGCAGAGAGAAATCAGTCCAGGATCGTGTCTTCCTTCTGAGCACAGACAACAAGACAGACTACCGAGAGCAACGCAGTCTAATATAGGAATAACAGGTAATAATCAATTCACATAGCATTTCAAATGTTCTGACATGGTAAGGAAAAATTAATAATCACCCTTTAGGCATAGAGGCAAGAGCCAGAAACCAAACGTCAGTGATGAGACCAAAAAACAAGCAGGCCACTTACCAAAGGGACGGGGGTGCTGGGCTCAAACTCTGTGGAATTAGCATCTGGAGATGAAGAAGAGTTCAGAAAGTCAGCAGTGCTGCTGAGAAGATTATCATCGGGGACAAAGTTCTGTCAGTAAATGTCACTGGCCAACCCACTCACCTTCCATGTCCAGGCAATTTCGCGCGAACTCTATCACAGCCAGCTGCATCCCGAGGCAGACTCCTATTTTAAAGAGCACATCTATCAATAAACAGACAGGGCTGGTATTTATTCACTTTTTTGTTTGTTTGGTTTTGGTTTT